ACTGTTAGAAACAAATGTAGTACAGTTGTAGGATATAAAATCATTGCTCAAAAGTCGCTTACATTTTTATTCACTTTAACAGTGAACTGTCCAAAAAAGAAATAAAGAAAATAATCCCAATTATAGTCGTACAGAAAATACTTAAGAATAAATTTAATCAAGAAGATAAAAGACCTGTGCACTGAAAACTATAAAAGGATGATGAAAGAAATTGGAGAAGATCCAAATAAAAATGGAAAGATATCTGTGTTCATGATCTAGAAGACTTAATAATGCTAAAAAGCCAATATTACCCAAAGTGGGTTACAGAATCAGCTTAATTCTTATCAAAATTTAGACAAAACAAAATGCCTCAAATAGCCAAGTTAATCATGAACACAAAATGCCTCAAATTGCCAAGTTAGTCATGAGCAAAAGAGAATAAAACAGAAGATATTAACTGATTTCAAACTATACCACAGAGCTGTAGTAATTAAAACAGCATGATACTGGGGAAAAAAAGAAAAAAAACCACATCAAACAATGAAACATAGAGAGACCAGAAGTGGACCCACGCAGGTATGGTCAGTTCATTTTTCTTCAAAGGTACCGGGAATATTTGATGAGAAAAGGAAACCTCTTCAATAAATGATGTTGGGAAAAGTGGAAATCCACGTGCAGAAGAGGGAAATATGGCCGTTATCTCATGCTATATGCAAAAATCAATTCAGAATGGATTTTAAAACAAGACCTAGGGGCAGGTATTTAGCTCAGTGGCACTGCACCTGCCTTGCAAGTGCAAGGTCCTGAGTTTGATCCCCAGTACCAACCAGCTAAACAACCAACCAACAAACAAACTGAAAAACAAGACCTAATTTAGAATCTGTGCAGGACAATGGCATATTTTATTGCTATAAATTGTGCTCGCATCCAGAAACTTACTGGCATATCTTCATTTGGTCCAGGTTTTTGGGGCTCAACAGTAAATTTTTATAATTTTCTTCTTAGAAGCCCCACATCTTTCTTATTTGTTGATATTTTATATCTCTACTAATGGATCTGTTAACAAACTTTCTTTATGAAAGAAAGGAAAAGAAGGGAGGGAAAGAGAAAGAAAGGAGAAGGAAAAAGAAAAGGGAAGGGAAAGAACTAAAAAGGAAAAAGGTAGGATACAGAATATTCTGGGTAGCCCTTAAAAGTATAATCTGCCTCTGTTAGCTTCATTTTTTTGAACGTTCTTTAAGAATATAAATTAAGTTAGTAAAAAGTTGTTATGGAATAGTATTACAATTTTATTGTCAGAGTACTGTAAAATACATTATTAGAAAACTTTGGGTCTTTTTAAATCTTACTCTTGCTTGTAGCTTTTGGCATTCTTTACAGACTTGAATGGTTTTTAGGACAGAATGTTTTCATACTTTAATTTGGTGGAGGATAACCATATCAAGTAAAATTTCAGAACTATACATTGCATAATCTTGGACATTTTCATATAAGAAGGCACCAAGGAGATTTTATTTTTTATGAAAATACAACCCTTAAGTAAGAGTGACTGTTTTTTATGGGATAACTCTAGACCACATTTATTTATTTCCCATGCTGTAGTTTTTCTGATGTCCCAAGCTTCAAGTATAGAGGTCAAAATGACATTTTAGGGGTCTAGATTTTAATCCTATAATTTAAAAATGGAAATTATTCAATTTATCAAAAATATTGGGTTTTTTCTTTTTAGATTAAATTAGTTTTTGATGTTTTGATAGTTTATTTTTAATACTTTTTATCTTCAAATTGGACTTACAAGAAAGTTGCAAAAATAGTACAAATAATTTTTACCTTTGACAAATTACACAGATGTTAAAATTTTACATTGGCTTTATCATTGTATTCATCTCTTTTTAAAATGAAAATGAATTTATAAACATGAGATGCTATACTGTGTACCACTACATACGTCAGTGTAGGTCTTAAAAATAAGGACATTATCAAAATCAGGGAATTAAAATTGATTTTAAAAACTTGTCTACCAGCATGAAAGTTTTGTCATTTGCCCTGCTAATTCCCTTTCTGGAAGCCACCCCCACCGCATAGTAGGGTGTCCAGTACAGAATCACATGTTAGTTATTTGTTCTCTTTCATTTTCTTTAATCTGAAACAGTCCCTCAGTCTTTGTCTTTCATAGCTTTCAAAAGTTAAAGAGTACAGAATTAGTTTTTGTAGAATGACCTTCCAATTAGGTTTATCTTATTTCTTGGGATTAGATTTGGGCTATGCTGTGATCATAACCAGGATTCTCACCATGTATGCTTGTCACACACACACACACACACACCCATTCCTGATAACAATAACTGTGATCACTTGTTTGAGGTAGTGGTAAATCACATTTTTAAACATCATAGTTTTTATGGTTTGTTGTTTTTTCTTGGTTGTATGGATTAGTGGACTTCATTTTGGCAGATTCCTAAATGCACATATCGTCCTTTGATCATTTTCAATCCCCCTTCATCCTCCCTATCCTGCCCCCTCATTTCACATTTTAGGGGAATGGTTTCAATGTATATATTTTGCTCGTATCTATTCCCATTGCCTACCCTCACACCCTTCTCCATTTCTCTTATTTCCTTCCTCCTATGAATAATAGCCTGCTTTCTATTTTTTCCTCATCTTTTTTAGATTCCACATATTAGGGAAAACATGGAATATTTGTCTTTCTGGTCTGGCTTATTTCATTCATCATGATGGTCTTCAGATTCATCATCTATTTTCCTGCAAATGATAGAGTTTTGTTTTTCCTTATGGCTGAATTGTGTGTGGGGGTGAGTGGGTGGGCACATGTGTGTGTGAGAAATTCTTTCTTTGTCCATCTCTTGGTGGGTACTAGGCTTGTTCCATTTCTTAGCTATTGTGAATTGTGCTGCAGTTTTTATGTTTTCTTAAGTTTTTGCTCTCTTTAGTAGATTGAATTCTGGAGTCCTTTCTAAGGACCAGTAGACATAACTATTTAAGTGTAAATCTACCTTAAAAGACTTCTTAAACACCACCTTAATCTTGGACATTACTAGCTTCTCAGTAAGACTTTTTCAGTTTCTGTATGGTTTTGTTATTGTTTTAATATTGGTCTTTCCCTCGAGGTTGTAAGCCCTATAAAAGTAGGGACTTATAATTTGTGCCTTACCCTATCTTCAATGACTAGCATAACTCTTTCTGTGAACTAGGTAGGAGATAGTGTTTGGCCAATTACAGTAGTTGGTTGGTTGGTTAGTGGTAAAATGAATAAGTGGAGTATTCATTTGTAAAAATTTGCACATTTTAAATCTTCTTTTATTAGTTTTATTTTTAGTTCAGCATGGTTTAAAACACATGTCATACCTTTGGTGACTTGCTATACTTTTGGTGGTATTTTCTGACATGGTTCTCAAATGCTGGCAGTCTAGACACATTACTTGGTGTGTTTACTGCTTTGTTGTTCACCTTGTGAGACTGATTTTGCATTTTCCTCTTTGCAACTTGTTATGTTTTAAGTGACTTGAAATGTGACCCCAGTGAAATTGCTCTGGCAGTAATAATTTTTACTGTTCCACATTGTTGTAGAATCTCTTCAAAAGTCTGAAATACTTTAAGGTTTTTAGTTCTGTGTTGTTTGTGGAATTGAAGCTCAAAGAGATCAAATACCCACTGTTATAAAGATACCAATGGCTGAACTGAGTCTGTCTCCTAAGTTTTCTGACCCCTAATTCAGTCAGATAACTCCTTTTGCTATAGTATCTCTCATTTGGCTATAGTATTATCACCTGGCTGCCAGGAATCCATTTGTAGTACTGCGAGGAGAAAATACCTATGCCGTTTTGTTCTACCTTGGCAGAGTTCATGTGGCTCACTAATTACACCATCATATTTTCATACTTTTCTCCCTGTGGGTATATTTCTTCTCCTTGTTTCAAAAAGGAAGTTTTAGGTTCACAGTAAAATGAAGCAAGTTCCTAAATACTTGCTCTCTAACGTGATGAACATTCTGTACCAGAAGGGTATATTTGTTACAAATGATGAACATGCATTGACACATGGTTATCAACCAGAGTCTACAGTTGTTTACATTAGGATTCACTCCTGGTATTGTGTGTTCTGTAGATTTGGGCAAATGTATAATGACAATTGTAATATCATACAAAATATTTTCATTGCCCTAACAATCCTCTGTGCTTTGCCTGTTTATCCCCAACCCCTTAACTCATAGTTTTGCCTTTTTCAGAATATTGTAGAGTTGGAATCACAGTATGTAGGCTGATTGACTTCTTCCACTTAGTAAAATGCATTTGGGTTCTGTTATGTCTTTTCATGACTTGATAGCTCTTTTCTTTTTAGCACTGAATAATATTTTGTTGTCTGGATGTGAAACAGTTTATCCATTTGCCTACTAAAGCACATGTTGGTTTCTTCCAAGTTTTTGCAATTATGAATAAAGCTACTGTAAACATTCATGTCCAGTTTTTTATGTGGACATAAGTTTTCAACTCCTTTGGATAAATTCTAAGGGGCACAATTGCCAGATTATACAGTAAGAATGTGTTTAATTTTGTATCTTCTAAATTATCTTCCAAAGTGTTCATGCTACTTTGAATTGTCTCCAGTGAGTGAGAGGTCCTGTTGTTCCCCATTCTTGACAACATGTGGTGTCTAATGTTCTGGGTTTTTCAGCTATTCTAATGACTCTGTAGTAGTGTCTCATTATTGTTTTAATTTGCATCTCCCTAACCATATATGATGTCAAACACCTTTCCATATGCTTATTGGCCATCTATATATCTTCTTTGGTGAGGTGTCTGTTCAGATCTTTTGCTCATTTTTTATTTGGATTATTTGTTTTTCTTTTATTTTAATACTCTCTTTTAAGAGTTGTGAGTTTTGGGGGGAGGCATCATCTAGTGAAGATACACAGAAAGCTTTGAGGACATAAAGAATAAATATTTTTTCGAAGGAAAACTTCTCTCTTTCTGTTTCTCTCCTTTTACCTTGTCTTTCAGTTATACCTGCCGCCACTTGCGGAGATATGTTTATGTGTTGGACAAACTGTATTTCCCCCACTCTCACTGTTCTACGCTTCAGCATTGCTTCTCGGCCCTCAGTGACAATGGAGAGGAGCTCTTGTCTTTAACTTGCTCTCACATTCTCAGATCCTATGCTGCCAGGTTATTAACCTCTGCTGTCTGTTTACTGCATGCTGCATGTTGTATGTGACTGATAACTGCATGTTTTACTGGGACACATGTCAATTGAATGGTAAAAGTACAATTTTATGTTTCAAATGCTAGTTAATAATTTTTTTAAATAATGGCTGGGATTTGTTTCCTTATAAATGTTTTCTTAAGTACTTTATGTTTCATGAGAGAAAAGAGGGTTTGAAGCCACACAGTGGTCACATAAACTTGTCAGAACTTTTCTATATTTTGTCCCCTTTGGAAGTCTCTTGATTTATACTAGTTGGAATGTTGTCTGATTTGTATATGAAATAGACTTTACAGTGACTTAATTATCAGTGACTTTTAAATTCTCTTTCTTGGTTTATGAGCACACCTAAGAGTTTGCTGAGGACTGCTTCCCTGCTCTTACAGAGCATTCACCTGTGCAGGTGTGACTTTATAGGAAGGTAGAAATTATCCTATTTGGATTTTGTTTCTTACTCATCTTATTTACATACAGAATAGTTATAAAATCAGCAGTTTGAAATGTGTCATGGATGCGTGTAAACATAATGATGGAGTGGTAAGAGACAAGCTATCAATCTCAAATATCAGAGAAAATCAACAGCTGCTTTTTAATGTGTCATGTACCAAAATAGAGGGGCAGCATGATATTACTGTTTTGTACTTTGCAATTGACTTTTTTGTTTTTTCTCAGGACTGTTGAACCCAGGGGCTCATATAATCTATATCCCAAGCCTTTTTTTAAAATTTATTTTTTATTTTGATACTGTGCCCACTAAGTTGCCTAGGCTGACCTTGAACGTGTGATCCTCCTGCTTCAGCCTCCCAAGAACTGGGATTACAGGCATGTACCACTGCACATGGCCTACAGTTAACATTTTAAACACATTTCCTGTAAGTCAGAGATGACTTATACCAACACTATGTTGTTAAGCAAGATGTGATGATTTAAGGCAGTATCTTCGCTAGCAGATGATTTAGAGGAAGAGGGAAAAACTCCATGGCAACCTTAACTAGAAGATGGAAAACACTTAGAATTAAAATAGACCTTTGCAGATGAAGAAACATACAAAAGCTTCAGACTATACATTATGTCTAAGTGAAAATACTCTGATTAGGAAAGGAAGACCATGTGGCATCTAAGTTTGCAGAGATTTTTCCTGGCAACAGAAAGATTGTAGAGATGCATGGTAATATTGCTTTGTATGCTATAGATATTTTTGAGAAATCAAAGATAGAAAAGCAAGAGAAAATAATAGCACAGGAGAGAGTGGAGGGGAAGGCAAGTAAAAAATATGTCTGTTTGCCAACTCCCCATGTGAACGTATTCATTATGTATTGCAAACATATACTAATAAAAAAAAGAAACAACAACAAAAAAACCCTCTTGAGTATATAGTATAGAACAGTAGTGGCAAACCTATGGCATGTATGCTGCACTGGGCCATTTGTATCATTGAAATCTCTAAAAGGTTGGCCATCACAGGTTTAGAAGAGTTTGTCAAACTTTAAAAAGCCAGTGACTTTCCACCAACTTATCTTAAAGTGAGTATCAGTTTAAGTGAATGGCATTTTTAGGAATTGAAGCTACACCTTGTCTAACTGTAAGAAACAAGAGAGTTGCTATTGATCATTGACCCTCTTAAAATGCATAATAATTGACTTTGTCTTTATTTACTAATGTATCAGTTATTTATTTACTTTATGTACTAATGTACATAAAACTTGTAGAATAATACCGAGAGAGAGACAGAGACAGAGACAGACAGAAGAAATTGGCTTTGATGATTTTTTGGTGCTAGCAAGTCTGAAGTCTATAGGGTAGGAAATTCAGGTAGGCAATGATGTTACAGTTTTGAATCCTAAATTCACAGGTAGTAGTTTTATATCATCATCTTTAGGCAAAATTCCTTCTTCCTTGGAAAGCAATCTTTGTAAGGTCTTTAACTAATTGGATGAGTTCTATCCACATTATAGAAGGTAATCTGCTTTCCTTGATATCAACTGATCCTAAGTGTTAATCACTTCTGCATATACCTTCACCAGGACATCTAGACTAGCATTTGACAAAATAACTGGACATCATAGCCTGGCCAAGCTGAACATTAAGTCAACCATCACACAGTACTTCTCGTTTTCCTTTGTGTGTGTTGTATCTGTTCTGTCAGTCCATAAGCCTCCTAGGAGTGTACACTCTGTCTTATTCATTGTTATGTATCTTATGGCTTCTTATGCTTTGCACATTGTTAATAATAACTGCTGACAGTGGTTTCTGCCATTTGCCATTTGTGACAGAGGCCACTATCTACTTAACTCTAAAGTCACACACCTTACCTGGCAGGAGCTGACAGGAGAAATAAATACAGAATCAACTGGGAAAAAGGAAATGAAAGGAACAGGACAAGGAAGATGAAATAGGAAGAGACAAGAGTAAACAAACACAGGGGAAAGAAGAATGGAGGCACTACGAGGCAAAACAGTGTGTGCAATTCCTGAGTCCCCTTCACCTGATTACTGCAGAGTTAAATCTGTGCTTGGTTTCTAAATCAGTGTAGAATTCTGCTTGTATTTTCCATTTGCTCATTGAGCACCTTTTCTGGAACCCCTCATTCTTTATGCACTTTGATTTCTTTCTCCTCGGTACTCCCAGTTAAGGCTTAAGGCATTAAGTCTCGAAAGGATATTTTTTTCAATACAAAACCCTCCTGAGGACTGAACCTTCCTTTAATGTCAGGCTCTGGTAGGCCTAGGTAGATAGTTGAGGAAATACTGGGGTCCAGAAAAACTTTATATAGTCTTCCATCTTCTTTCACCTCATTCCAGGGCCGTTTACCAGATAGGCTGGCTCTAGGCCTCCAGTCTGCCAGGTTTTACCAATATTAATCCAGTGTGGTAGTTATGGACATGGGCTCTGGAGTTAAGGCCTCTTCTCTCCCCACTGACTTTCAGCTCTAGCCCCACCACCTGCAATCTGGGTTGGTGCACAAGACACTATTCCATTCAGGGCAGTGTAGGTGTGCTAGTCGCTTTACATGCAGTGTTCATTTGAAAGTGACATCCTGCATACACGTGGTCAAGTATAGTTTAGTGCCTGCAGTTGGGTATTTTTCTTTTAACAGAACTGCATTATTTGGGAGGACAAACCAAACCAAAGTCTACATGGAGTAGTCACAGACTCACTTCATAAAATCACATGGCTTTTGGTTATGCAGAATGTTCGAAGTATATTTTAGTTCCTAGGGAGAAATACAAGCTTATTTCTTCACCATTGTCCTAGTGTGACTAGAAGTAAAGAGGGTGTGTATGTGCATGCATGTACACACAAGTGTATATTGCTTCACTTCTTTAGGAACAAAAAATTTTTTTTTGGTACCAGGGATCAAACTTGGGACCTTGAGCTTTCAAGGCAAGCACCAGAACCACTGAGCTAATGCCCCAGCCCTACAAGCTTATTTCTTAAGAAAGAACTTTACCTTAGTCTAATATGAATTATGACTGTAGATAGAAATCTCAGTCATTCTGCTGAAAACTTCCTGGCAGTATAGGGTTCTTTTTTAAAGCAGCCCTGAGAGTGAGCTTCTGGGCTTCCTAACTCAGGTGACAGTAGAGCTCTTCTTACTTTATTTTAAAATTTTATTTTGAAACAAGCTCTTGGTGAGTTTCTGAGGCTAGCCTCCCAAGCAGCCAAGATTACAGACATGCATCACTGCACCTGTCACCTTCAGGGTTTTGAGAACACCTTAAATTTTTCTTCAGCTTAAATACCTTGGTTACTTCAGCCATTCCTTATAACAGGTGATTTATTCAGTCTTCTTATTATCTTCCTTGATGTCTTTATTGGATAACATCCACTATAACATTTTTGTTATCCAGAATTAAATGTAATATTCCAGCAGTACTTTATAAATATAGCTTTTAATTTAAAAATTATAAATTATAAATCATACTCGTAATTTGGCCTAGACTGCACTGATTTTTGAAAACAGGCACACTTTGGCTCACGTAGAAGTCTATGATCTTATTCACAGAAACACACATCTCTCTAGACTTGTACTTTTAATTATTTGAAGTAAATTGCAGGGCTTTACGTTTATTCTTGAACTTTAAAAGGCATCATCATTTTTTCTGTTTGCATCATACTTCATGAAGCTGTAAGCCTTTCAGACCTGATAGCCCTTCCAATTTACTCCCAGAAGCATTGAGATTATCTCTCAAGCTACCAATCATAGATTTGATGTCTCTAGAAATCAGATTTAGAATTTTGAATGAGCATTTAAAAATTTGAATTCATTGTTAGTCGCTACATGAAGTCAAATGCTTTGACCAATTAGATTTTTTTTTTGTCCAATTTTTTTTTCTTTTCTTTTTTTTTTTTTGGTACTGGGGATCGAACTCAGGACCTTGAGCTTGCAAGGCAGGCGCTGGAACCACTGAACTAAATCCCCAGCCCTTTTTGTCCAATTTTAAGATCCACTTTCTTAAATTTCAGGGTGGGATGGAAAATTAGTTTTATAAGAAATCTGTGAAGTAAAAAAATAACTTCTCCTTTATTTTAATTATATTTTTAGTTTATATGTTATGCTGATGTCAGAGCTATAGCTGCCAATATTTTAATTGGATCAGAGGCAAAGAGAAATCAAGGGAAAGTTGAATGTTGAGATGATTCTTTTATGGTGGCACAATTTATTTTGAATTACTATTAACTCAGGGGCTCAGTTTTTTGCTGCCTGATGCAGGAAGGCTAACCAAGAACATCAGCAGTGTTTAAAAATTATTTTCTAAAGGAAAAAAATGGAAGCAAGATCTTTGCAGGGGGAAAAAGAATTTTGGGGAAGGGTGGAGGGAGTGAGGGGAGGGCAGAGCAGGGGGAAAAAGAATAAGAACCGAGATACTCATGTAATGGTACAAGGTCCCAATGATGTATGTAAATGTATTTTATACCTAAAATGTACCAATAAACTTAATGAGGAAAAAAAAATTATTTT